CCGAATACATTCCGAATAATTAATTCCAGAAATTCCGAAAACAGCATACAGAAATATGAATCAAGCAGAAGAAAATATTTATGTTATTTGTTTCGAGTTATGAATAGCAATAAATGAAGAGTATATCATATAATTTGGCTACTTACGCTCTAAAGCGAGTACCACAAGTGTGTAAGATTAGTCTAATACAGATAATTTACATATATAAATTTATGAATACATTTATTCTTACGTTCCAAGAATTCTAATAACACTAATGAAAAATAGTAAATGCATAATTCACACCAAATGAGCAAACGTAAAATCACTCGCATATCACAAATCACTCGCTACATAGTTAAGTGGCAGATCCCAACTTCAGATATACGTTTTTTATAAAAAAATGTTGATCATATCATTTTACTTACTTTAATAGTAAGTAAATGAAACTAAATTGATTTTAGAAATAAACAACCAATACTATATCTAAAATCTGTATCCAATATTTAATCAATCTCTTTGGAGTTGTTTGCTATAAAAGGGTTGGTCCAAAACTTATTCTTTCCCTTGTATTCTTCTTCTATTATTTTATTGTTTTTTTATTCATTTATATAAATATATATTATTTTTAATTATTGTATATAATTTTATATATATATATTATCGCCAATATGTGCAATTAAAAACGAGTGTACTAAATTTTATTAAAATTACATGAATTCAATTTCTAAAAGTCACTGGAAGCAGCAAAAATTTACAAAAATATACTTTTTTTATAAAATATTGTCCAATTTTTTATTTTTTTTTTTTTTTGATATTTTGAACCAAAATAAACTTCACCTATTAACACAATTTGACAGCTGTAAACGTTTTTGGACGCGTTTAACCTAAATTGTCAACATTTTCATAATAAAAGAAAAAAAAAACAAGTAGTAGGAAAAAAGAGAAGAGTTAACAAAATTGTCGCAAAAAGAAGTACAAAGAAAATGCTAAAAAAATAGAAAAAATCGTGAAAAAGTCGGGCACAATGTGTCGACAGATTGGACTGAACTCAGCAGTACGTACCGCTCAAGTGCTACAAAAAGCACCGCAGTGTAAATATCTAAATATGTTGCGCTGCTCATAACGAAAAACATTGTTAACAATTTTTTCAACCAAAACCTAAACGCAGTGACCATGCAAAAATACGTTGAAAAAAATAAAATGCAATAAAATAAAACAAGAAATGAAATAGCTGACATTTTCATAAATTTCTGTGCAATAAAAGGAAACTACAAATAAAAAAATAGAATAAAATAAAAACAAAAATAAGCAAAAAAAACCGAAACAAAAAAATAAAAAAGTCAACATTTCATTAAAGTTTCAACTTCCGTATTGTACTCGATTGCTATGCACTGTGATTTCTCATGCTTTTTGCTGCCGTTTCTGTTCATGCTGGCAACGTCATTTGATTGCTTTAATTTTTGACTTTTTAGTTTAGTATTTGCATGTGAAGTAAAGTTAATTAAAAGCAAAAATAATATTACAAAATATACAAATTTGAAACCCTTACATCATTTCGCTCGTGCTAGTAGTGTTAAATAACTAAATTTAACAAAAAAAAAAAACAAAAAACTCAAAATGAAATTTAAAAGGTAATTTATTTTTGATTCATTTATGGTCATTATACAATATTAATAAAATTAATGCAGGTCAAGTAGAACATAATTAAATGAAATGCATTTAATATCATTACCACATTATGTTATAGTAGCACTTTTTGGTTGCTTTATACAAAATTAAAATATTGCAAAATTAATTTAATTAAGTAATATTTAATTTATACTAAATTTAATTATATATTAATTATATAAATATATAATTTACAAAAATTTTATTTCGTATTATGTGATACCACCTTTTTATAAAAGATTAGTAAGGGCCATGTTATGTAGACTGTCACATTAGTATTGCCAATTTCTTACTTTACAATGTTTTGGTACTTTTTGGATGTACCTAAATTTAAAAGGCAATGTAGATATGCACACTTTCAATTTGCCACTAAAAATAACCTGGAATATTATCTTATAATAATTGTTAACAGTACTTACAAAATTATTCGTGTTTCCTTTCTTATTAATATATAAGTACCGGTCTATATTTCGTATTTCTATTTCATTAATTCATAATTCTAATTCCATTATTATCATTCATTAATTTTATTTCATATAAACTTAAATTTAAAACAGTATAGAGGCCAGCTTTGTCTTTATAGAAAATTAATACCATGATTCAGGTTTTTTACTGAATACTGTGCGAATACTGTTATAAAAACTTATTTTAATTCACAATTTTACTCAATTCTGGTAGTATCCAACGTGTGGGTATGAATTATTTGGAAAAATACGTGAATTATATGAAATTTCTCCTACCCAAATTTTTCCTAAAAATTTTCGCATATGGTGTCATGCTAAAGTTTAGTAAACACTTAACCTATTCAGTGGCATTTGTTATCAAAAAAAAATTGTTTGAATAATCACCTTGAGTTGAACATTTCTACTTAATTTGTAAGCACTTACATGAAATCATTCAAAGCCTTCTCCTTTTTCCTTGATGTCAATAAAGTAAACAAAAGAAAAAACCCCATATATTGCCTTTTTCCAAGTTTCATCAACTTTTTATATTTTTTTAAGGACGCAGCTGCTGTAACTGTCAACATTTTTAAAGGCAAACTTAAGGCATATGTGCATTCATTTACGCAAAGAAAACAAAAAAAAAAGCAAATTTTCAACTTTTCCAACATTCTACGTTTATGGTTCAGCCAGCGTTTACCTTCACATTAACTGAAGAAAAGAAAAGAATAATAATAATAAAAAAAATAAAGGAAAAAGAAATAAACATAAAAATGTTTTACTTTTATTTGTTGTTAACGAAAACCGCCAAAATAAAGAGGGAAAAAAGGCTTTTCATCTCCTTTTCAATTTAACGTTACGCCTACTTTCAGTCAAATTGCTACTTTTTTCCAATTCATTGCAAATTTCGCAAATGCAAACCGATACGATCCGTTGTTGTGATACAACACAACAACAACAACAAAACAAATATTCGCGCGCACACACACATAACCATAAATCCTTGTTAGCCTTAAGCGGCTACGTAAATGGCAACAGCTTGTTTGCTACGGTTTCGTATTAGATTCACTTTTGTACCTTTCCACTTTTATTTTATTTGTGTTACGACAAATTCGCGTTGTCTGCAGGAAAAAGTCATGAGAAATCGTGTTATCAATTTTCTTTGAATTACAATTTTGCAGCGCAATTTAAGCGTACAGTTGAAAATGCCAAAAAAAAAAAACGCAAAGATACAAATCCACAAATGTATTGTGAATCTAAACTGCTGAACACTGCTTTTGTACTTTTGCAGCTTTTTTTTCTTTTTTTGCAAATGTCGGCAGCAATTTTTGCCTCATTTCTGTTGCTTTTTTTTTGTTACTTAAATGAACTTTATATGGCAAAACGAATGCCGCGAGCGTTTGATTCATTTGTAAAGTATCTTCTTGTGATTTTTTATAAATTTATCTGTTTTTTTTTTACTTTGTTGCCATAATTTTTATCATCTGAGGATGCTCTTTAGTCATCATAATCCATCCTACATGTGAAAGAGCTTCTTGTGCGCCGTGAAACTGGTTTTGCTGATTTTCAATTTCAATTGCGCGCCACACACAAAATGGCACAATTTAACAAAAACACACACACATATATATTTACGCTCATGTAAAAAAAAAAAATTTAATGCTGTACATACGTATAAAAAAAAACGTTGAATTAAAGTAACATACGAGTACGTGTGTGAGTGGTTCAGCTATGCCACAGTTACATTACCTACACATAAATGTCATTTTATTTGCACTTATTGGCAATTTGTCGCTATTGTTGTTGCTCTTGTGCCCATTTGTTGTGTGACTTTTTTTCTTGCTCTTTTTTTCTGCAGAGGCTGTAAACTTTTATTTCTATTTCTATTTATTTAAGCGATTTATTTCTATTTTATTTCTTAACAACAATAATAGTAATGTGTAGAAGTTTTTGCTTAATCAACTGTATTATTTAGATGAATACTTTTATGTGCTTTTTTTATTTTAATACTTAGATTTATGCAAATGTTGCTGAATTATAGTTTAAATTTATTATAAAAATATTGCTATAGGCAAATAAATAAGCATTAAAAATACAATAAATGGCGATTACTTCCAACATAAATTTTAATTTATTTTTAAATTCCTTAATAATTATATATATCTGCATAATTGTTTTAAATAATACACTGTACAATTAGAATCGATCTTATGCAGATCACATTGCGGATACAAAATTTCTCCATTGATTTCTTTTAGTATGTAAAGAGATCTCAGTTGCGGACATGGTCAGCTATATTTATGGTACTTAAAATCGTCTAACTCAAGTTTTACTTTATCTTCTTGTTATGATTTCCACTAACAGTTTCATTTCGTTGGTTGTACTCTATCTTCCTCGATTTTGAAAATTAATCTCCAGGTCGAAACTTTTTTTGGTGTAATATTTTAATGATCATTACGGTTACTTTTCACGTATAGATCTTATAAATTTACTCATTTAACGATGCATATGATTATATGACGCTTAGTGCACCTAGAGGTATTATATGTGGCTTATTTTATATATTTGAATAAATCTTTTACATACATGTTTTGTTAATTTTAGATTCTACATGTACTTTCCTTTCACCAGCTTTAGTTGTTATGCCTCTCAATCTACCTCTACCTCTATTCTCCATATTACATTACATTACCAATTTTTTTATATAAACATACTATATTGAAATATATAATGTTTAGTCAATTATTTTAAGGGGCTTCTGAATAAGTAGGGCTTATTTACCAGATATCACGGCGTATAAGTTGAATGCTGGTAATATGAAACTTAAGTTGTTATATTAATATAATTAATTTATATTTTACAATACAAATATAACTGTAATTAACTGTTTTTAATTCTTTTTCTTTGCAGATTATTAAAAAACCACTTCTGATGCATTTACTTCCTTCATTAATTTAATAACATACACGTCGTTCTTTAAAAAAATGTGCATTAAAATCTTAGTTAAATATTAATTTAATTTAATTTAATTTTTCTTTTACAGTGCAATTGTAGTTTTAAGTGATAAAAATTAAATATTATATAAAATTTATTATAAAGTGTAAAGTATTGTAAAGGAATACCAATTGAAACGTAAAAAGTGCAATAATTAACATCAAAAAAAAAGTCCTTTAACCTAAAACTTAAATAAAACTGAATAAAACCTCTTTTAGGTTTTAATTTTGCTTTATTTTTTTCTTTATTATTTCGTGTAAATAAATTATATAATTATAAAAGAGTATCGAATAACGTTAAACGTAACGCCATTATGGATCCGCCTATAGGCAATGGATTCTGGCAAAAATCATGTAAAGCTTCAATAAAATCAAAAACAACGCAACAACACAAAAGTAGCAGTAAGAAAAGGACAACAGAAAACATGCCAAGTAATGGAGTCCATCGTTCACTTACAATAGAAAACCTAAGAAATATGAGTGTGTTTGTGTGTTTAGTCGCCATTATCGCCTTAAATAGTTTCGGTTTTATAGCAACAACAAATGCGGCAAATCATCGAGAATATACGCACGAGCTGCCATTACTAAAAGGTAATAAAAATTATATTTACTGAAAAATATCTATGAATTACTTGCAATTGTTTAGATAAAAATCAAATTGTTATTTCTCACCACAAAAAAAAAAAAAAACAAAAACAGTCATCAAAAATCAATTTATATTTTATCTCACATTTTTATTTATTTACTTAATGTGTTTTTATTTAAATTTGTTTACAGTATGACTGTAAATTTATTTTCTCCCATCAATCTATCTATATTGCGATTACAGTTTTACGAAGTCATTACTTACCTCAAATCGAGTACAAAAGAATTATTTTGCAAATTAATTGCAATTAATTACAAGTCTGCCAACTTAATTACAAAAACGGAAAAAATCATTTTTAAGTTGTAAAATGAGTTTGTGAAATTGACCCTGAATATGGTATACTTTATCCACTGCAGTATTTTAATTCATTTATAAAAATTTAATAGCAAAAAATTCATTTAATTCAGCAATTAATTACTTCGTTGAAATTCTTGTCATGCACATGTCACAAAAGACTGTTGTTTCTTATTACTAGTAACAACGACGAGGAAACAAAAAATTCTTTCAAATGAATATTAAAATAAATGAAAATTAATTTTAATTTCTAAGTTAACAATTTTAGCACCGTTTTAATCTCTGTACTGCAAATACAGTTCATTGGAATTATACTTTATTAACCACTATATAATTAAAATTGCAAAGATCACGAGTTTAATTATTTTTGAGTTTGTAACTTGCTTATTTATTTACAGTCTGCTGTGGTAGACGGACAGTCAAGCTCTTTAGTATTCATATCTGCTGTATACCAAAACATGTTCTTTACTAAAATATATAGTAATTATCTTCAGAGTAATGCTAAGAACTAAAAAATATTGTATACATACATCATTGTTGTAAAATATTCTGTAATTTACACTAGCAATGGTTTCAAAGATTTTATTCAGATTGATTAGATACTCAGTACCATTTATCAAGAGTCAAATCACCATATTTTTGCAATCCCACAATCTGCACATTATTACCTTTAAACCGTAAATATTTTGTTATTGATTTATTGCATATAGGTATTATACAGTTTCTTACTAAAGAGTCTTTATTTCATGAGACAATTTTTTCATCCACAAAATATATTATAGTTAGAAAGGGCGTTCATTATCATATTATATTTACTGAGATACAGGGTGTTTAAAGAAACTACTCCAACAAAAATACATACAGTCAAGAAATCCTTAATATTTCAAAATCGGTTGTTCTAAGTAACTGTGAGTATCTCAAACTATTGATTACCCGATTACACGAAGACAGTGAGTCAAAGCAGAAAAATTTCTTAATAAAAAATGATAAGATATTAATATACGAAAAATGAACAGAAAAAAAAATTTTCAATAGTTTTGGAAAAATTACGATTCACACTGATTCCCACATTTGTAGTTAATATTAACTTTTATTCAGCAGATCATAGTGCATCGTACGAGGTCCATCAAAACCACGGAATAACCTTGAAACTAAAAATATTTTATGGTATTAACTATTCAGATACTTAGCCGATTTTAAACTAAACTGACTTACTGAGACTAAGAAATTCCTGGTCACCAGTTGTTAGTACCAAGTGCCTTCTTATCGTTGGTTATCAATCCAAAGCATCACTGGTCTTTCCACCAATGATGCATCCAATCCATATATAATTGTAAATAGTATGCGGTGTTCTTATTCAACGCTTCCTCTTTCTCATTTTTCTTGCAACGATGTTGTATACATTGGGTTTCAAACTGAATACATTAGTTCACTAAACATGGATGATTGTAGCTATCTAGAGGGGGCTACGTAGAGGTTGCGTTTCAACTTGAAGAGAACAGAGACAGGGATCGATCGATCATGTCTATTAAATTTGTGTTGGAATTCAATATAAATATCTATAATGTTTTTGTAATTTATATTTGGTATATATATATTACTGTTTTTTTATTTGAGGAAATTTTAAATTTAAAAGAATTTTTTTTTATTCCAACCTTTAATAGAATTTAAATACTGGATATTTGTTGGATACCTCTAAAAATGCATTTTCAATTTCAAAAAAAATATTTGAATTTATGTGTTTGTGTATCCTTTTGCATATAAATGAATGTTTGGTAAAACTTTTGTCACTTTACATGGCAACACAGTATATTTTATATGAAATACAGACTTATATATTAGTAAGCCAACCCAGCCAACCAATTCAGTGTAAACGTACTTTTTCCATATAACTTTTTGCTTTCTTTTTTTTCATTTATTGTTTTTTTGTTTTTTTGTTTTTTCTGTGTTTTAAACTTATCGCAATCCATTCTAAAACTAGAAAAAGAACCACTGCAAATGTTAAAACATTGTGAACCCGCAGACCAACAAACGTTAGAGCAATATTGCTCTTAACTGCAATGTACACACACATGGTTGTATTAAGGGTTTAAATACTTTTTAAGCCTTAAATGTACAAAACTATTCAATATGTAAAATGCATAAGCTAGTAGTATGTAAGTGTGAATATCCATATGAGTATAAACGGATATATATCCATCTATATGTAAGTGTGCAGACGACAATATGGAAAAAGTCATATAAATATATAAGTACATTGGTTCCCGAAGCGTTTGGGTTTACCTAGCATTGTGCCAGATAAAGCACATTTATTTGTTTGGAAGCCATGAGTTTATTTATTGAAACACTTGCTTTGCTGTTCGGTTTCGCAGTAGCATTTCCATTGCGAACATTTAGCGAACATATTATTTCGAAATATTTTTTCTTAACCATATATTTTGTTAAAAGTATTTTTTTTGTTTTTTTTTTTTGTAGATTTTGCTTAAATTTAATTGTTTTCGCACAATCGCATTTTTATGTTATTTAAATATTATTCACCTTTGAACCGTCTACGCTGTAAGTTGTTTTATCACAGATGTGTGGTTTTTAGTCTGTATTTAAACTATGATTTTTTGTATGATTGTAAGCACTCCCATATTTTACACTTAGAATAAAAGCTCTTTCATAAAAATTATTAAAAGAAAACCATTACCATTACAAACTTATTGAACAGAACTGTTTTCTGCCATGTGAGAAGATAATAAAAATATTCCACACCTTAATAACCAATCATATATTATTGAAGCTGTAAACAATTGACATGCAATACCAATACCAAAGCCTTCTACCAAGGGTCAGTATCGAACTATAATACAACTACATACCTTAGCCTTTATTGCGCTTTTAATCATTCGAAACGGGCAATTAATTATTAAAAGACAATTATTGAAAGACAATTAAGTTGGTTTCGCTGACGATGCTTTTAAAGCCAAATTACAATTAACAATATCCTGGGAGCTGAACCACTTACTGCAAAATTATCATAAAAATGTTACGAAGTGTAAACTGTAAGAGTTTCGTATGGAGAATAACTTTTTCTTTGCACTTCGCATGCATATTGTACTCGTAATTATAAAATAAGTATTGTGTGCGCTTTTAATTTAAAATACATATTTGATTATGTATTTACATTAAATATTTATTAACTGTTGTGTGACAGCAGTCTGTGACTGTATAAATATTGTATCTTTTAAGTTAACACAGCTGCCTGCCTCGATGTTTACGGTTTGAGTTTACGTATTTTCCACTTTTAGAGGTGGACAGCAACCATTAAAATGCCTGGCTCGTATTCCGTAGAATTTACAAAATATTATTAAAACTTCCAATTAGCATTCAATAAATGTTCTGCAATAAAAATTGAAATTAAAACGTTGCAAAATAAAACTGCATCAAAACAAAAAAAAACACTGATTCGCACTTTTATTGTTATTTCGACATATAAGTCATGAGCAGAACATGGTAACACCCAGTACCAGTAGATCGCAGAGCTACAGGTTGAAGTCACCTAACAAAGAAAAAACAGAGACGTTAGAACACGTTCATTAGTTTATATGAAAATTTGTTCTTTTATAATTTTTCTTTAAAATTCTGTCTGTGGTTTCGTGTGAATCAAATTGAATTTTTTTGATTTCAAATTCTTTTATTTTACAGAATTTGCAGATATTTCTCAATTTTAATATATAGACGTAAAAGCATACATAATCCCAACAACATATTTAAACGTAAATAAATAACAAATAACCGCATAGTTTAATGAACAAACTAAAAGACACAAAAAAAAAAATGAAACTAAAGTAGCAAAGTTGAATTACGCTAAGTGCGGTTGTTGTCGCCGCTAACGTCATTCACATTAAATGTTATAACAATAAATATAAAAATATAACAACAACAACAATAATAATAATAACATCGTAACGTCAACAGCAGCAGCAGCAACAATAATGACTGCGACGATGCCAACTACATTCGCTGCATGAAACGGAGATCTCCGTACCAGGCACGAGGTTTTCTGTGATTACTCCACTCTTCTTGCCAGCTCTCATAGACAGCAACGGCAACAACCACAACTGCTTTTTTTTTGAACAAACCAAACAACCAAACAACCAACCAACATATAAACAAAACTACAAAACACAGGAATGAGTGAGTATTCATTAATTCAAGCACAACAACGATTCCTACGACAATAACAACAAACCGCAGAAACAATCGTGTTGTTGTTGTTGTTGCTGTTACTTTGACAGATCTAGCAGATCGAACACGAGGGCAGACAGACAGATAGACAGACAGACATAGCGCACATCGTACCTACACTTACAATTGTAGTGAATAAGATGCGCCGACCCGAAGCGGGTTTGAATAACAACAAAGCCCAGAATAAAAGATCATTTTATTTAGCCGGCAATGAATATGGATACGTATTGTACAGAGCGGGGGTAAATACCATGCATACTTTTTGACTGGATCGTAGTATGAAAATGCGGCTACACTCACACATATACACACGCATACACAAAGACCGGTTTTTAAGTTGTTTTGGTTTTTTATGTTATTTTTTGTTGTTGTTGTTGTTATTGTTAACCAAAGCTTCCATTATCAACCGCCGGTGTGT